AGGTGGAGCTTGAGGATCCAGTTGAGAATATTGGTGCTAAGCTAGTGAGACAAGCTGCTTCCAAGACCAATGACTTAGCCGGTGATGGAACTACTACTTCTGTTGTTCTTGCGCAAGGTCTCATCGCTGAAGGTGTAAAGGTTTGTAAAGTAAAAGGAACTGACCAATTTTTGTGAATTGAACTATTCATTGTTTGGTTGAATGTGGGATGTAAATTGAAATATACAGGTGGTGGCTGCCGGTGCGAATCCGGTTTTGATAACTAGAGGAATCGAGAAAACCACCAAGGCTCTTGTCGCCGAGTTGAAGAAAATGTCGAAGGAGGTAATTGTTTACTTAATCCAATTCTTTTAGTCATGGCTCTATACCTCTCTATTCATTGTGCTTAAAAGGATTGTTTTCTTTTGGATTGCAGGTCGAAGATAGTGAACTTGCAGATGTTGCGGCAGTTAGTGCAGGAAACAATTACGAAGTAGGCAATATGATTGCGGAAGCAATGGCAAAAGTTGGTCGTAAAGGTGTTGTTACTCTCGAGGAAGGAAAAAGCGCTGAGAATAGCCTTTATGTCGTTGAAGGAATGCAATTTGATCGTGGCTATATGTCTCCTTACTTCGTTACTGACAGTGAGAAAATGTCTGCAGAATACGAAAACTGCAAGGTACTTAAAACAGTGGTGATTAGCTAAATCCTATGAGCTGATTAAAAGTGCCAGAAATTTAGACTATTTGTCTCTTCTTTTGTTCTTGCAGTTGCTTCTTGTTGATGCGAAGATAAGAAATGCTAGAGATATTATCAACATTTTGGAAGATGCGATTAAAGGTGGATACCCGCTTTTGATCATTGCTGAAGATATTGAGCAAGAGCCATTGGCGACTCTTGTTGTGAATAAGCTTCGTGGTACTATTAAAGTTGCTGCTTTGAAAGCACCTGGATTTGGAGAGAGGAAGAGTCAGTACCTTGATGACATTGCTGCTCTTACAGGAGGTGAGACCAAGATACTAATTGTATCTTATATTACTGTATACAAAAAAGATGTTTAAAGTTGTGGCGTTGTTTTCCTCTTTGTAGCTACTGTAATTAGGGAAGAAGTTGGGCTCCAGTTGGAGAAAGTTGGATCAGAAGTTTTAGGTAATGCCGCTAAGGTAGTTCTCACTAAAGACACTACTACTATTGTTGGTGATGGAACTACTGAAGAAGTTGTGAAGAAGAGAGTTGAACAGATCAAGAATCTTATCGAGGTACATCTTAAAAACAATGAAATTTCTAGATTGTTTGTATATTTTGCGGCTATATTAAGCCTAGGGGATTTGTGTAGGCTGCTGAACAAGACTACGAGAAGGAAAAGCTCAACGAGAGAATTGCTAAATTATCGGGTGGTGTTGCTGTAATTCAGGTGAGATAATAAGAAGTAAATCACATTGATGTAAAAAGCCTAATTATAGGTAATTATAATCCAATGTTTTATATTCTTTTTAAGGTTGGCGCACAAACTGAGACTGAGCTTAAGGAGAAGAAATTGACAGTTGAGGATGCTCTTAATGCTACAAAGGTAACAACATCTCTATGCAAAGAGTTCTTGGAAATGTCTCTACATGTTAAGCCGTTGAAACCTTCAAAAAAATATTTCAGGCGGCTGTGGAAGAAGGTATTGTTGTTGGAGGTGGATGCACTCTTCTAAGACTTGCATCGATAGTGGATGCCATTAAACAGACTCTATCAAACGATGAAGAAAAGGTTAGTCTATAAGAGTTGCACAGCAGAAAAAAAAAACCCTATAAATGATGAGTTCTGGGATTATAACACTATTTTCGAACCATCTTAACCTCCAGGTCGGAGCAGACATTGTTAAGAAAGCACTGAGCTACCCATTGAAGTTGATCGCCAAGAACGCTGGTGTCAATGGTAGCGTCGTAAGCGAAAAGGTAATGAAATCTCCTTATATCAGATTCAAGTTTGAGTCTTTGATATAGAACCTAAGTGAATAATCCAACAGGTTTTTTCAAGTGACAACCCTAAACATGGTTACAACGCTGCAACTGGCAAGTACGAAGATCTTATGGCTGCAGGAATCATTGATCCAACCAAAGTGAGCAAAGTTCCTTACTTGTTGCTGTTTGGAATCCTCCTCTGTTTCGCTTGCTAATAGATTGTTTCTGTTTATTTAAGGTTGTGAGATGTTGCTTAGAGCATGCTTCATCTGTGGCTAAGACATTCTTGATGTCTGATTGTGTGGTTGTGGAGATCAAGGAGCCTGAATCAGCAGCTCCTGCTGGAAACCCTATGGACAATTCAGGTTTGCCTTAGTTCGTTGTCTTTAATCCTCTGAATTATCGGCGAAATTCTACAACTTTTTTCAAAAACTCTCTGTTGATTTTCAGGTTACGGCTTCTAAGTTAGCAATAAGAACAGAGTAGACTCTGAGGAAGCAAAAGCCACGACCAAGTTCTTTATTGTCTAAGTTGAAACTCCTTTTATCAGATGTAAATTATATGTTTTTCTGGTGACCTGAAGAACATATTGTTTGGTTTTGTGTTGTTTGATTCAAGGACAAGTATTTGAATATGAGATTTTCACTGAAGTGATTGTACGATTTGCAGTCTGCATTGATCAATAGATTTGGTTTCTAGAGATACCGTAATTGGTGATTTGGTCAGTTACAATTTTCATTTGTTTCAAGAAACTTGATGAATTCAATTTGTTGTAGAGTAATACGACCGACAAGTTCGATTATTCATTAATCATATGAAAATCCTTTTAACAATTCAAAGGAAATTTGTTTTGCAATGACCCAATCCTCTGTGGTTTCTTTCTGCAGTTCATACTTTTGCAATGTCTTGATTTCTATTTGCTGCAGTGCCATCCAATTACACTTTTAGTAACATCGAAATTATGATATTTTATTAACTTTCAAAAGCCTATTTATAAGTTATAACCCTTTGAAAGATTATTTTTGTCTATATCAATTAGAAAGAACGAAAAAAGA